CTATTCAGCCATATAGAAAGGCACACTGTGACCGAGGAGGCAATTGGGCAGGGAGGGTGCTTTGGGCCCTCCCCAGTCAAGCTCCAGAACCAAAGTGGTGACAGCCAGTTAAAACCCTTACCTGCTACAGCACTAAAGGGTGCAAGAAGACTTCCTGGAAGGAGCCCCTGCCCACATCAAAACCCCTCTCAGCCCTGCCACTTCCTACAACACTGAGCAAGAAAATCCATCTCGATTATCCCAATGTAGCGTTACTTGATATACCACTATCATCTCTAAATTCAAAATCCTATGAATGACAAGGCAAATATTTCCTGTCCCAGTGGGCCAGAGATTAAATATTAGAACACTTATACAATATTCTTCAGAAGTTCAGATCTGAACAGTTTCAGGAGGACTTTCCCCACAAGTCTTATTTCTCTGACAGTCAGCAGCCTTTATAGCCCAGATGAAAATAATTTGCCACAGATTTATTAGTAATTTTATCACATTCTATTGTCTATTATAAGTGACGCCAAGGGCAGAGAAAAGGACAATAGACATCTTATCTCAAACAGAGAACTGCGTCTCCAAACAGCCTAGTCATCTACAACAACAAGGAAAAATATGCATTCCACAATATGAATACTTTGCATACAAGCAGTTATTAACCAAGGACATACACTCTTTAACTACAGATAAGCCTCTCAGCTGATGTAAACAGAAGCCCTTGGAGTTTCAGTCAGACCTACATTGTTCTGTGAAGGAATGGTTGTTTGTGATGGCTCAAAACAGCCCAATACTGCACTGTAAAAAAAGTCATTGAAAAATTGGCATCTATGCTTGTCTTGATCAATTCTGTCCAAGCCATCTGATTGTGACTGAAGTAGAAGATAATATTAATACACAGTATTGAAAAATATGGTAGCCTAAGAGCCCTAGAGACTGGCTTCCTGTTCACCAATTAGGCCAATATTATCACCTTCATTAAGACCGGAAGGCCTGGCGTGATCTGGTCCATGGGGTCGCGAAGAGTCGGACTCGACTGTGCGACTGAACAACAACAAATCACCTTCATTTGGAGACTGGTGCGACGAACTGCACTTTTAAAAGCTTAGAAGTGGTGTGTAAACAGATAAAGGACTGTGGAGGGTTAATTCTTCACAGAAACAGAGAGCCTTGAGTGACAGCTGTTCCAAGAGATCTGATTGCTTAGCATCATCTGAGCAGAGAAAGACTTCTAAAGTGTATGCTGAGAAGAATTCAGTCTGATTTCAGCCCTAGCTGAAAAGCACTGAGTACTGACAGTATCGGAATTCAGCCCTGACTGAGAGCAGTTTAACACAGACAGGAGAACTGGAAAAAGTTTGCAAGGATGAATGAGTAGTTAGACCCATTTTCTGGCCAAAGAAAGGGGATACATCTTCTAGTGAGAGGAGAATTTCCCCACCCAGTCAAACAGAAAGTTAGCTCTGAAGAGAGATCCCTGGTCTGGTGTAGTCAGAAACTGCTTTTGGAGACCTTAAAGAGGCAGTTAAAACCTTGAGTACTGGCATTTCAAGAAAAGAGTGTACCAGCCTTCTGGAAACCATAAGAGTAAAAGAATACTCAAAGAAAGTGTACTGGATTGTTTGGAAAACACTGGAACAAAAGCCTCTCAACATAAAGATTGTAAGTAACTCTGAATAGCTTAAGAAACTCTCATTAACTTGAAAGATAAGAACTGAAGTCTGCACTTGTACTGGTTTTACCTCAGAGTTTTCTATATACTTCAGAAATTTCAACTCCTGATTTCATCTGACCTTTCCCCTCTATATTGAATAAAATATTTAGTTAATCTTGAATTTTAAAACATTTCAAGTGACATTTTCAGTGGTTTAAGTTAAAGGGTGATCCGGTATCCGACCCTTCCCTCAGGTTCCTGGGCTGAGCCAGCAGTAAAATATCATACTGACACAGGGTGGGACAGCCAAAGTTCTTCAGGAAAGAAGAAAACAGACCACTAGGGCTCCTCAGTTAGAAAGGGAAAGAAAAACGGAGGGAAAATCTTGCCTCTGAAGGAGGAAAGTAGATGGGGTGTGTGTGTCATAACTAGTTAGTGAGACACCTGAACTAGACCAATACATCCTGAGCTAGGATAACCAGATACAGAGTGACTAAAGAAAAAATTTCAGAAGGTAAAGAAAGCTTGTCACACTATAGTACCACGGAAGACTGCTTTCTCCAACATTCTTCCTTCTGTACATTTATTCACCTTATTTTGATCCAACATCTAGTAATCTTACTTAGCCTATCCTCAGACAGCCATTGTTAGCATTCTGGGCAAGGTTAACCATTACAATAAACAAAGTAGTCTTTCAAGTCAGCTATGCCACAAATGAAAACGATTGTGCTAATCTGTTTAGTAGATGTTGGCTTTATTATAGAATCCCCTTTCTTTAAAAAAGGAACAAGCAATATTGTGGCAGGAAAAGCTGGTGAAATACCCAACTGGAAAATTCCTATTACGTCATGCCTAACAGAATATAAGACACCTTCATAGCTTATTATACCTACCAAAATCTTCTACTAAGAACTCTGCCCCTTTGCTTCCCTGATCAGCCACGCATTCTATTAAATTCTGAAAGGAAGCAGCAGCATGGCTACCTAAAGGTCAGGCTTCTATCACATCTGTAAGCATGGCAAAAGAAGCAAAATATCCTAACCAAGGGTGGGTGGCTACTGAAAGAACACCTTGAAATCTAACATTTCTTTGCCACAAAATAAGCACCAAGACAAGCCAAGAAACAGAACCACAGGAATAGTAGCTGTATGTTCTAAGAAATCTGTTTTCAAGAAGCATGGTGAATACCACCAACTGCCCAACTATGTTTTTCCTCCTCAGAACAAACCATAAAATGGCTCATTATGCCATTAAAAATGGGACTATGTCCTTTTGTACCTTGGGAATATTTACACTAACACCCAGAAGGCCCAATTTATTTTATAAGAAGATTGTTTTCATTCATACAAATACATATTTCTGCAACTGAAGCTAAATGCAAATAAGTGAATTAACAGTTCATATTTTTAATAGTTTAATCCTCTACACAGAAGAGCTCTAAGTCAGATAAAATCAAATCTATATTCTATATGTTTGGGGAGGGGGGACAATCAAGACACAAGTTTAATCATCTTATTCTCTGTTTGTGGGAGCTATGCCTTAAACATTTGTCAAATAAAATGCTTTTGTTTAGTATTCAGTTTCTCTCTTGTTGCTAAACAGAATTTTTTAAAAAGCTGCACACATAATTTACTCCTCTCCAGTGCCTGTTACCACCCGCTAGTTCCTTTGGCTGAGCACTTCTGGTTTATGGGAGCACTGAGGACTTAATAAATTATAACATAATGTTCATTCAGTAGTTGTTTTCCTAAATAAAATCCTGACTCTTCTTCATGCACACACAACAGAAACTTTACTACCATTCTGCAGTTTAATGGGTCTTTATAATATTAGCATAATATTCTCTCTCGCCTAACACTAAACATCTGTTTCTCTGCCATTTATAACTCCAGCTTGAATCACTACCTTGAATCACTACCTTGAATCAACAGTTCATTGAGCTTACCAGACATAACCAGACATAACTGCATACTGAGAATGTAGAAAAGGTCTGCTATGACCAATAGTTCAGTGAGCAGATTTTGCACTAGAAGAGTGATAAACAACAAAGAAGGAAACAGTCTGATCTTTCCATGAGCATAACTCCTAAAAATGGATTCAGGTGGGTATCCATGTTGGTCTGAAGCAGCAGAAGAAAATTTGAGTCCAGTGGCACCTTTCAGACCAACAAAGTTTTATTCAAGGTATTAGCTTTTGTGTGCAAGCACACTTCTTCAGATACAGTGAAACAAAATTTCCTCAACCATTACATATATGTAGAGGGGGGTGGGGATGTAACAGTTGAGGAAATTTTGTTTCACTGTACCTGAAGAAGTGTGCTTGCACACAAAAGCTTATACCTTGAATAAAACTTTGTTGGTCTGAAAGGTGCCACTGGACTCAAATTTTCTTCTGCTGCTTCAGACCAACATGGCTACCCACCTGGATCTAGACAAAACACAGAGTGATCTGTGATTGCCCATCTCTCTCTCTCTTTTTTTTTTTGCAACGCTAAAAATAGTCTGGAAGGATTAGATTAGTTGGGTGAACATTGTTTGTTGTCAAGTTTTGAATCATCTTTCTGCCATATTACTCAAGTTAATATACAACTGAAATAGGGGGGTGGGGTGGAAGAATGACAAAACACACTTAAACTAAACATTAACCCATAAGACATCATCCCCTTAAAATCCAGATAAATGTCATTTCAATCAACAGCGCATAAACTGTCCCACTGATTTCAACATGGCTTAGACAGAGCTCACTTTCTTGACATTTTCCTAAATTCACTGACAGTATACCAGTATAATTAAAATCACAACCATTTCTTGTTTTAAAACCAAGCAGGGTTGTTGTTTTTTTAATTTAAAAGGGGTGGGGGAGAAGCATTGCTTGGGAAATCCAAAAACCATGTGATACATTTTATTCAACCAAAATAACACAAAACAGTGTGCAAGCTTGCAAGTTTTGCAGAAATCTTCCTCAGGCTGGATGTAAAACAAGCAAAGGGGGAGGAAGAAGAGAAGATATTTCATGCCCTGATCTTAAGGTCACATGTCTACATTCTGTGTGGAATGTCCTGCACATTTGGACAGATCACATGGAGAAAGCACCTTAAGGTGTATCCTATCAAAACCCTACAGTGGCAGAAATTGCCTGGAGTAAAATAATCTCCAGAAATTTATTTGCAACTGGGCTATAAAAATAATTCCTTATTATCAGCAATTCTGTCTTGCATTGAGATGGGCAAGAGTCCCCCCCCCCCCCCCCCAATCAGGCCGAGGAAAGCGCCGGTGTTCGCTCCTCTTGAAAGCCCAGCAGGCTGTCGCTCTGCTTGCAAGAGAGGATTGAAAGGGGTCGCTCGGGCCCAAATACTCACGGCAATCTGCTTCGTCGCTATTATCCGAACAATCATCATCCTCGTCGCATTTCCAAATGGAAGGGATGCAGCGCTCGTTCCTGCACTGGAATTGGTCGTCTTCGCACTCCTTCGCGAAGCCTGCAATTGGCAGGGGAGACAGAGCCAGAACCCGGGATCTTAGCAACAGGGGGTGCGGATAGTCGAGCAAACACACAAACACACCCCAACCCCACGATGATTCTCAGCCCTCCCTTTCACAATCCGCTTTCAGACGGCAAGCAAGCTCGGAACGTTCTAGGCCACATCCCCAGTTCCTCGAGAGCCGGAAAAGGCGCACAAAGACCCTTGATAATAGGGAAGGGAGAACATCTCCATTCGCAAGGCATGCTGTACCAACACCCCCACACCCCGCCCGGTTTTCGGGAGGCAGCAGCGACCGTGCCCGGGGACCGAAGGGAAATGAGCAAGCAGCATGACAACAAAGGCTCATTCTAAGCCAAGTCAGACTCCCTCAAAAGATGCAGAGCTTCTTGGCTTTTTCTGCCTTTCGCCCGGAACAATATTCACTCCTCAGCACTGTTTTTAAAAGGGCGACAGGAGCCAAATGCAACTCCCCCCCCACACACACACACATATATGCATATTTATTTCTCTAAATCTTGATGCTGAGATCTGGCATTTAAACGAGAGGGTGGGCACACCAGAGAAGCAAGGAAAAGGCAGGTTGCAAATGGATCGTTTTTCTGCTCCGGAAAGATATCTCCTCCGAGAGAGGTGAAGGGCTGGTCCCGGACGATGTGCCGCTTTCGTTGCCTTAAAGATATGCCCAGCAGCACCAGCAGCCTGCGCCCTGGCCCTTTCACCGCTATATTAGCCCCCCGTCCTTCGGCGACAAACATGCCTCGCTTTGGCCCAGATCCCCCCACGCGGAGGGGCGGCCAGACTAGCGAGCGGCAGCAGTTGGAGCAGCCAAGCAGCATCCAACGCGTGGCTCGCACTTGCTCAGTAGGCTCCGAGCCGAGGCGCCTGGTCCTCCCCTTCCCAGCGCTGCTGCGGACCCACCTTTGGCGATATACAGCTTGATCAGGAGCAGATGGAAAAGCAGCAGCCTGGTCAGAGCTGGCCGGCACATCGCGCTCCCTCCTCGGCTGCTTAACGGCCCCTGTGCGGCGGGTTGCATGCAGCCCCGGCTCTCTACCTTTGGCAGCCGAGCAGGAACAGCATTTCAACCCAAGCGAGTGACGCTCCCCACTGGGCGGGATTTCAGCGAGCGAGCCAGACCTGGGCATGCCCGCCCGCCGGCTGCCTAGGCGCGAGACCACGTGGCTGGGCAAGGAGGAAGGTGGGGCCAAACCTACTTGCCCACCACCCCCTTCCCTAGGGATTTAACGGCCGGTTACAGAGTCCTCTCTTGGTGCACATGCTTTGACTGCGCGACAGGGTGGGCTTCCGCGGCGGGCTTGCAGAATGAACCCTGCAGGTAGACCAGATCTTTCCCATTTTGTAGGAAGAAAACTGATCACTCTTCTTGAGACCACAGAGGGAAGACATAGATGGATTGGTCAAGGCTTAGAAGAACTGAGGAATGCAACCATTTCCACTGTTTAATGAATTATTATGCCAAAGGCCTGGGGCTAAGTGTCCTCCCAAATCTAATGCTAATTATTCTATCCTAACAATTATGCTAATTATTCTACCATAAGAAACATTTTGAATCATGTTTTAAAATGAACAATCCCAGTACTTCAGGAATATGTACAGGCTCCTTTGGGAATATGTGAGTCTCCTCCGGAAGAAAATCCCAATGCTGAAAGGCAGCTTTATGCCCAGCTTTGAGATGGAACAAAGGAAGATGCCTGAAGGACCATTGGATATAATAGGAGCCAGGAATGTGTATTGAATGCCAATTGATTCACATGGGCTCCATTGAAATAATTACAGTACAGTATGGTGGCTCAAGTGGTTAAGACGCTGAACTGCAGGCTGTGGAAGGTGAGTAGTTCAGCAGTTCGAGACCTGAGTTGCCGCATGACGGAGTGAGCTCCCGTCTCTAGTTCCAGCTCCTGCCAACCTACCAGTTCGAAAGCAAGAAATTGCAACTAGATAAATAGGTAGCACTTCGGTGGGAAGGTAACAGCATTCCGTGCGCCTTGGTGACCACGGAAACGTCTCCGGACAGCGCTGGCTCTTCGGCTTTGAAACTGAGATGAGCACCGCAACCCTAGAGTCGGACTCAACTGGCTTTCGAGCAAGGGAACCTTTACCTTACAGAAAAGTTGCAATGAAAAATGCAGAATGGATTTAGAGAAGTCTGCTCTGGGACTAGAATGATAGGCCTCAGAAGAGAAAAACAGTCCATAAGTGTTGTGGAACTGGAATAACAGTCCCCAAACTAGAACGACCATCCCTGGGAGTGTGGAATCAGTGCTCTGGGCCTGGAATGACAGCCCCCAGAGTGAAATGACAGTTTCTGGGGCTGGAATCAGTGCTCTAGTGCTGCAATCATAGCCCCCAGAGTGGAATGACGGTCCCTGAGACCACACAAACTAATCTGGAGCTGGCATGACAGCCCCCAGAGTGGAATGATGGTCCATGGCTATGGCATAAATGTTCTGGGAGAGCAATAACAACCATCAGCAGTGCCTGTAGCTTTAAGAAATGAATCCCCTTCTAGGATGTTGCTAGGCAATCACAACAGTATCACTGTTTTAAAGCCTTGGATTTATTATTTTACTGATTTACCTGCCTTTACTTTGCTCATTTTTTCTACTTGTTATTGATCTAAAGTTGTTGTTAAATAAGTGGTAGGTTGGGTGCTCTGGGCTCTGCCTAGGCGACCTATACCAGAGTGGTGGCAGCAAGTAGTGAACCTTCCTAGCTACTGCCTGCGACATGGTGGCAGGAGTGGGATAGGCCAATTTTGGACCCCAGTAAGAGGCAGAATGTTAATTGGGCTTGTCTCATTTTCCCAACATTTGGGAAAGAAAAAATCTTTTTACCTTTGGCTTGAGGAAGCCATGCAAAAATTTAGTAAAGGCGCTGGTAAAGTTTTGTTATTTTTTAGCTGTTGGGTCAATGGGATAGTGAGGCTAGAGATAGGCAGTGCATGTTCCTCCAATCCAGAAAGGAAAAATCTGAGGGCACTCCTGTTCCTAAGAACAGAACCCAGAAGTTAAAGCAACCATGTCCAAATCAACAGCACCCCTGAGTGAAGAGACGTTACGTCTCCAGCTGCAACTTAAGCAGGCAGACCTTGAGTTAGAGAGAGCTCAGTTGCAGACAGAGGAGAAAGAGACTGCAGCTAAGATGGAAATGGAAAGAAAAAGGCTGCAGAGAGAGGAGAAAGAGACTGCAGCTAGGATGGAGCTGGAAGGGAGAAAACGAAGCTGGCACATGAGCTTGCTTGCAAGGATTGAAAAGGGGCTACTCACTCCGGATGCTGCTGTGCAGGGGCATAGCTGAAAATACCCTTTATACAAGGGGGGGGGGGACACTGAAGTGTTCCTGCAAAACTTTGAGCAAGTTTGCATCAACTACAAGGTCCTCTCAGAGTCGTATATGGAGAAGTTGAGACCTCAGCTGAGTGGAGTTCTGGCCAGATGGAAGGTGAAGAGAGGACAGACTACAAGCTGAGATGGTGGGGTTTTCCAAAGAAGGAGCCCGCAAGAGATTCAAGGAAGTAAGACATAAAAATTGGGAGTCTTAACTGGGGAAGGCCTATGATCTATTGTTGGTTGATAGTGAGATATTGAACAAATGGTATTTAGCAGAGATAAGATAGTCCAGCAGAGCCAAAGTAAAATAATTCAGACTCAGAATCCATGTGTGATTAAAATATCAAGTTTTTACTAAATTCTAGCATGGGAAGGGTAACTGGGATGAAAATAACAACAGAGCATAATCGGCTACATCCTTACTCTACAAAGACAAAATTAGAAGAGAGAGATTATGGCTACTCTTCTTGTTCTTCAGAACACCAAACAAAGACGGGAAGAGAAGCCATAAAATGGTAATATACCTTGACACTTTAGTCCCAATCAAATTCCTAGATCAGGGAGAAAATTCCTGGGCTTTCTACAGCTAAAGAACATTGGTTACATGAGAAACATGTGACTTCCTGTGAGTAACATAAACAAACATTTAACCCCAGATATACTGAGTGTTTTCAACTTGTAATACCCAACACCCCTTCTCAAGTTATAACACGAAAGTCATACAAATTCAAACAGTCACGAAGAGTCTCAAAACGTTGCTTGTCAGGATGTCTGATCAGTAGGACAATATTGGAGTTCAATCAGTCCTTGGTCTTGCAGCTCTTTCACATAGTGACATTTGAGTGCGATGGTCTTGTTTTTAGATTTGGTGCCTTCACCTTTGCAGATGGTGATACAAGCTTGATTGTCCTGAAAAAGTATTATTGGCTTTGGTTCATCTATGTC